AAAAAATATAATAATTATACCTTAAAGATAAGTTTTGTATTCGGTCAATTAACAGAAAAAAAGCACGACAATCAATAATTTGTGAATATTTACATCTCAATGCAATGGGAATCTAAACTAAAACCATGGATGCCGTGAAAACTGAAAACTCTTATTGGGAACGCGACACATCCTGTGCGGGCGTTTATGAGGTGAAGTTGCACCTGATCTATAGACATAAACTGAAAACTCTTAATACAGGTCATTGGTGTATGTTACCCTTACCCATCTCTTCTAGATGGTTGGATCGAGGGCATGGCCCGCCACGACAACGCAACAAAACAAGTCTTCAAAGAAAAAATCCGTCCTAATTCTATCCTCTATTTAATTACTACTACATCTTCCATGATGTGTGATGGTATTTCATTCATCTAAGTAAAAAAAAAAAAAAAATTCAAAAGAAGTACTCTTAATTTTATGAAGTACGGGGTAAATTTTAATTATGTGAATCAATTTTTACATGGTTTAATTAATAAGATTGCAACATATATATGATGTGACGTGGGAAAAAAAGTGGAGATGTATTAATTAGAAGTTGAAAGTATATAACTATATAATATATATATATATATATGTGATGGCAAATGGTAAAACTCCAAAATTTACTTCTTAGATACGGTGGGAATGAATTCATCAAAAGAACTAAGGATAAATTTTACCTTTAAATTTTTAATTGAAATAAATGACTTATTACTTAACAACTAATATGTGATAATAGTTGATGTCATTATACGTGAATTTTTAATTACAAATATGCCTATGTAACAAACAAATTTCAGACCTGTGATGGCGATAATTGTTAATTTATGTGTCATTTATCTTAATTAATATTTTAAGTAAATAATTTATTTTTATTTTTTTAAGAAACAAATCAATCTTATTTTTTTTAAATAATTTGTAATTATTTACAGAGTTAATTAAAGAAAGGAGAAAAAAATTTCTATGAAATTTGAACATACAACCTACAGAGGTGAACAACCCTAACCAAAAATCTAATATCACTAAATCAGAGCGAACATTCCAAATCAATCCTACTTGATAATTCAGCCACGACAAATTAGTACCTTGGTTAATTATTGAGTAGAAGTTGTGGGACCATTGATGATATCCCTTGCGCAGGGAAAGGTGGAACGGGTGTATGTGACTCCATCTTCCAGTATACTTTTCTATATATATATATATATATATCTATATATA